TGGGTTTGGATGGGATTGTTTTATGAATCTGGTATTTATAGATAACACTAGAAAGTCCTTCAAAATCCCTCTCACACAACAATCCTTTAAAATCCTTATATTTTTGAATACCAATGGATTGTTTTTAAGTTGTAAAAAATCTCAAATGAATACCAGTGGATTTTAATGGACTCTTTAAAAAATCTTGAAAATCTAGATTGAATACCACTAGATTGTTTTTAAGTGACATAAAATCCTGATTGAATACCAATAGACTTTTTTTACTCAAAAAAAAGTCTTTTAAAATCCTACGAAATTCTAAACCAATACACCCCCTAAATTGTACGTTGAGGATAAATACAATAAATAATGTTATTTACATTTATTACTATTAAATATATCAAAATATTAATTACAAACATTAATTATTTATATTAAATAGTTATATTTAACCAATTATTATGTGTATTAAATATATATTTATAGATATTCTATTCTTATATCATATTACACTACTAGAATTTCTCTTATTACATGTGAATTTTTCATAAAAATTCACAGGAAACGTTATTCTTACAAATTCACAGGAAACGTTGATCCTACAAATTTTCCTGTGAAATTTTATCTGCAGGTAATACCTTCGTGGATAATCTATTTTTGTGAATTTTAAAATTCGCAAGAAATTTTCCTGCGAAAAAAATTCGCAAGAAAGTTTCCTGCAAAAAAAAAAAAAAAAACTACAGGAATATTTTTTACGAAAAAAAATTAAAGAAACTACTATAAATTCTATCAATAATTCTTCAACTTTCAAATGCTCACAATGAATTCATCCGAAGCATTTGTTTCCATGCTTCTAACATGTGATACATAATCTTTTAAGTTTTAAGATTGTAGATTATAAGCCTAACACTCAACTATACAAATTAACTTGTAAGGTAAGTGTTGTCCCAACTTATATACTCTTTAATTATTTTATTTTCAATCGATGTGAGACTTGAAGTTTTTTAAAATATTAAACTTATAAATTTAAATATTTTTTTTTAATTTTTTCTGCGGATTAAAATTGGCAGAAAAATCCGCAAGAAAAGTTACCTGCAAAATTTTTCTACCATTTAGTAAACATTACTTGCGAATTTATTTTTGCAAGAAAATCTGCAAGAAACAAAATAAAATTCTTACAATATTTTCTGCAAATTTTTACCATGGAAAAAAATTTCTATGATCATTCAAATTGTAGCAAAATTTATAAAAATTTCTTGTAAATTATTTTTCATAAAAAATTTGAAAGAAATATCTGTAAATTATTTTTCGTAAATAAATTCGTAAATTTTTTTTATGAAATTATTATTACAATAAAATTTGCAATAAAATTTTGCGAATATTTTTTTGTAGAAAAATTTGCAGGAAAATGACATTTTTCTAATTGTAGTGTTAATGAGTTTATTTATATCATGTTAGTATACATTTGAATTTTTCTATTTCGAAATATGTTTTATAAAGTATTTTAAAGTGTATTTTAGAGAAAGAGATATTTATTCTAATTCTTACATTTTAGTGTGTACATATATAGTTTAATTAATTATTATTTAACAGGGAATTTTAATATATTTAGATCGATAAGAAAAGTTATGTATCTAGTAAGTATATATTACATTACTAAATTTAATAGATATATTGTATTTCATATATATGATATTCAATAAATTTATTAAAATTAATTATTTATATCGTTGAATGTGTGCAGTAAATAATACAATTAACATCTATAATCTATAATTATTGATAATATATATATATATATATATATATATATATATATATATATATATATATACCTTTGTTAATAAACTTTTTTTTTTGTTTAACTTTTTTACCTATTCAATTATACAATAATTTCTTCCTAATAATATATATTCATAGAGGATAAAATGAAAAATATACTTATATCTATACATCTATGCATATTGAAGAGAGATCTGTTTACTCTAGGAATAAATCTACTTAGATTTACTCTATTCAATAACTCATGTTTTATATCAAATTTTAACAATCCAACCGTTGAATTTAAAGTTCTTAATGCATAGATTAAATTTGCAAATTTTAAAAAATTTGAAAACCATTTGGTACTTATTTCATTAATTCAAATTAATGTATAAAATGATTTTATGATTATCCGTTAATTTGAATTAATGAAATAAAGTATCAAATGATTTTTAGATTTCTAAAAATTTACAGACTTGATCTATGCATTGAAAACTTTAAATTCAGCGGTTGGATCGTTGAAATTTGATGTAGAATATGAGTTATTCAACAAAGTAAATCTAAATAGACTTATTCCTAGATAAACGGATCCCTCCTCATATATATTATAAAGTGATATATTTTGGTAACCACCCTTTTGGTGTTCACTTTTTAGTAGACGATTATACCCATTAATTATAAAAAAGAAAAAACTTCATATATTTTCTCTGAATAACTATCTATAATTTCTAATATTTATTTATGTGTAATTATTAGAGGTTTGAAGTGTCTCGACCTCTTTAATTAATACATAAAGGGATATTCCTTTTAGTAACTACTTGATCTTCATATTTGATAGACCATTATACTTTTTATTATAAAAAAAAAGTTAATATTTTTATCAAAATTAAAATTTTAAGACTTGAGAATCAATTGTAACATTGATTGAACCAATTTTATTACTTAATTTAAAATTTTATTTTATTTTTAATAAAGATACAAAATGTCTCGACTTTATTAATATATATAAAAAATGTAATTATTATACAAAATCATGAAGTATTTCAACTCCTTTAATATATAATAATTACTAAAACTGATACAATATTTTTGTATACACATATGCTTTTTTTTTAACTTTTTTTTATCACATTATCTTTTATATTTTCTTTAATATATAACCTCCGGAGTACAGGGACATTTGACCCGCAAAAGTAAACAAAATGCTAATATGTTGATATCAATTAAAAGATGAAAGTATATGCAATATGTAAAAGAAAAAAAATTGCATGATAAGTCTTTGATATTTACTTAACTAAATAACTTATATTTTACATTAATTTTAAATAATTTAATTATTATATTAAAAAAATTTAATATATAGATTAAATTTATAAATTTTAAAAAATTTAAAAACTATTTAATATTTTATTTTATTAATTAAAATTGATGAATAATCACAAAAATATTTTATATGTTGAATTGAATTTTTATAAAGAAATATTATATGATTTTTAAAGTTTTTTAAAAATTATAATTTTGATCTATACATTAAGAACATTTAATTTATGGTCGAATAACATGAGCATGGGTTATTAAGTAAAATAATTATATCAATAATTAATTTTTAAGTAATTTGATCCTTTTTCTTTATTTAAAAGAGTAATTTTTAAAATTTAACGTGTACAAAATTTGATAATCCTGCATATCTTTTTACCATTTAAATCAAAGACATGCCGTATTTCTTTTTACCATTTGAATCAAGGATCATAATTTTAATAATTTCCTATTATATAATATTCATAATAAGAAAAAAATATTAAAATAAACAAAAAAATCCTTTACACTGCTGGTATATTCCAATTCAATGTTATGTCCAAACATGAAACTTATTTCATATAATTAATTTTTAAAATTTTTAAAAATTTATAGACTTATCTATATATTAAATTTTTTTAATTTAATAATTGAATTATTAAAATTTAAAGTAAAATACGAATTATTAAGTAAAATAAATAAATCCCTTCCAAAAAAAAAATTATATCAATAAAAGAACTAATCATTTGTATTATCTATAAATAGATACAACAAAGAATATGTATGTTCATAAAAGCAAAATAAGATAATAAAACAACTGCTGCTTGTTTGCCTAACATGACAACGAGAGAGAACCATTGGTAACAAAATAACACTTTGGACAATACAAACTGATAACATGGCTAAATGGTACCCAATGGAGAACACATTTAGCATTCGGAAGCAAATATCAAGACTAAGAAAAAGGAGGGGAAAAAATACACGTATTTTAGCATTATGAACATTAATTTATTTGTTATGAAATGTGTTTCGTTGCTGCAAAGGACACTGCTTCATCTGTACAACGCAGGCTCCGAGATATGAAGAGGAACTTATTAGCCTTTCTGGTTACTCTTAAGATTCCGTACAGTCATAACGAGCTTTTGTCTTTCACTTTCCACCTCCGCAAAATTGAGGCTCATTTCTAAGTATCTCTCTTGCATCTCCTTAAGTTCACTTTCCATTGATTTGTTTCTTTCCTTCAATGATGTTAACTCAGTTAATGTGTCACCATTGATATGCTCAACTGTACTTCTCACTTGTCCAGATATCTCATTGGAAGTAGCAACACTTCTATCATGAACAACCTGCTTGAAGGGCATGCCAATGTAACATTTTTCCAGACATGTAACTCTATAGCTTCATAAATCAACAATTCAATAATGAAAGTCTAATCTAGATGCTGGTTTGTAATTCAGATTTCATGGAACAAAAAAGCTTTGTCCCAAGAGAAATGAAACTTCTAAAAAATATAATTAGAATTTTTCTTATTGGAATGTGCATCAATGCTAATCACTAATGGCCTTAAAGTTTTAGTACTGTTTATAAATATGAGTATACCTTATGCAAAGCAATACTACGGTTGAATTCCTCCACTCTGTTCTCCAGTTCCTCAATTTTGGTCTGGAATTCTTTTTCTTTCTCCAAAAATGAAGTTGTTGAAGTTTCCAAGGCAGTTTCCTTTGACTGTATCAAGCCCTGCCATAAACAATTCCTTTCATTATCATGCTCACTTCAATTACCATAAGTAAATTATTTTTATCCTTAGAAAGCACGTAAGAGTGCAAAATGATGGATAGTATCAATAGAAATATTAGTATTTGAAAATTGAAACCTTACCTCGAGTGTTTTTATTTTCTCCTTCAGACTGGCTATTTCCTTCGAATTCTGAGGAATTGAAGCAGTTTTTTTGTTCTTTGGAATTGTTTTAGTTGCATCGGTAAGTTGTGTGCGTACATTACTTTCCCTTAACCTCTTTTCAGTGCTGATTAATGCTTCATCTTTCTTCTTCAACTCACCCTTTAGCTGGAAAACTTGCTTTCGTAGTTTTTCTTTCTCAGCTTCATCCTCTGAAAGAGACAGTTTCAGGTCACTGTATTGAGATCTAATGGCTTCCAACTCTGACTGCAAGACTCTAACCTCTGTTTCTTTTTCATCCTTAAGATGTCTCATTCTATTTAACTCATCAAGTGTCTTCTCTGCCTCCTTCTTCAACAATGCAATTGTATCCACCAGTTCATTTCTTTCCACAGTTCCTTTATGTAAAAGGGTCTCAGATTCCTCGATTGATTTCTTCATAACTTCCAATTCAGTTCTTAAAACTTCTTTTTCTTCTACTTGTTCACGTAAGCACGAAATCTCTACGTTAAGCTTTACATTCTCAGATTTTAGTAACCCGATATCATCAGATAAATTCCTACTAACTTGTTCCTCGTGCCTCTTCTGATTTTCAAGCTGCTTGGACTTATCCTCAATTTCCAACAACATCTGTTGTATCTGAACTTTCAAGGTATCTATTTGGTTGGAAAGTTGGTTCAGTTTTTCCTCATAATCAGCTTTACTTGACTCTAGTTCTTCCGTGGCTTTATGCAGCTTCTCTTCCAGTACACTTTTCTGTGCACGCACTTCACTTGCTTCTGTCAATGCTTTCATGGTTGCCTTCTCATTTGCATCAAATGTAGTGGTCATTTGCATGGAGAGCCTTCGGAATTCCTCTTGAAGCCTCTCAGCAGTTTTAGCATTTTTGTGTCTGGTCTTTCTCAAGGCTTCCTCTGCTTGGATTGCTCTTTGCTCTTGCTCAACTTTCTCACGCATCACTGCTTCAAGATCAGCTTCAAATCCTTGTGTTTGTTTCTCCATTTCCTCCTCTAATCCTCTGATGTGGGTTTCAAGTGCCTTAATGGTAGCCAGAGAATTTGAGAAGTCTTCTGATTGTTCCTTGAGTTGATTTTCCAGATTCTTGATGTGTGTTTCAATGTCATTCATTGCAGGAGGAGGAGATGAACATTCATACTGCATTTTCAACTGTTCTTGCAGTTGGCTTTGCTCCACCTTATAAGCAAGGCCATGGTTTTCCTGTTTCAATATTTCATAGTCCAGTGCAAGCTGTTCCATCTGCATCTCTAACTCATCTTTGTCTCTCCTGTACATCTCTATTTCACCATAGAGGTCTACTATTTTCTTCTCAAGTAAGTGTGTCTCCTTGGCTTCACTGTGCTCCTTAACAAGCTCCTCCAATGCTTTCTGTTCTTCATCATCATCAGTTCCACATTTTGAGAGGCTTAACCTTACCTCTTGGAAATTTTTGTCCTGCTCATTAGTATAGGAATGGTTACACATGTCCCTATTTTTCTGCTCCAACATTTCATCCAGATCCTGCACAGCAAGAACCAGTTCAGCATTAGATTCTTGCATCTTCTTTAACTGTAGTCGGAGGTTTGCATTTAGGCCCTTCTCATAATCCAACTCTTGTCTTATTTCTTCAACAAGAGCATGAAGATCTCCACCTTCCAACTGTGTCCTGTTTCTCCCTTTGGATTCATCCATGCGTTTCTGAAAAGACCTGAGATTATCACATTCTGTCTTGAGTGCATCCCTTTCCTCTTTCAAGACAATGATTTCCTTGGAGAGATCCTGCCCTCTTTTGCATTCCTTTACAATTTGCTTCCTAAGGGTCTGCAATTCCAAGTCTGACACATCCACATGCCTGGCCAAAGCAGCAAGTTCAACCTTGAGACTTTCAATCTCTATAGGTTGGGAGTTTTCCTTTGGAAGAGAATTATGATGAGATCGAGAACCATATGTTGAATCTTCTTCTGTAGTACTTAGCCTATGCTCCGAACCAGCTGGCCAGTCCCAGTGTGATCTCTGATGTACATCATGCATTGATGTTGAGGCATTGAGAGAAAGGTTTTGAGGTTCTGAAGCATGGCGCATGGTCGGGTCTGGAACAAACCTTTTTGTGTTGGGTTGCATGCTCTTTTTTCTAGGTCCAACTTCACGGGGAGTGTCAAGTCCAGAGCTGTCATCAGAACTTGACAATGTCATATCTGAGCCACTAGATGTCCTATAATTAGAACTCAATTCAGCTCTATTGATTATTGCTTTAGCAGACACATCCTGTGAAACAACAGAAGAAATGAATAAATCGTCTACTTAGAAAGGAAAATTTCAATCATGGAAGTATGACATTAACTTATAGAGCATTTGCCTGCACCCTTCTTCCCAAAGGAAAAGAAAAGGTGAGAAAAAAATAGCATATTGACAGACATTAAAAGATGTCACAATAATTCTTAGTCCAAGAGGGTGAAATTCTTACTTCAGAAGAACAACTTTGACTGGTTTCATCCATATCACCGTTGCTAAATTGGTTCCTTGAGCTCCTATCATCGTATTTTACTTTGGCATCTTCACATTCATTTTCTTCTCTGCGAATGTTATCCAACAAGAAAAAACCACATCATCAAACACTGAGTCGAAGCAAACTCTAACCTGAAGGCAAAAATAACCATGGCAATTTCCCCTTTGTACCTTCGATCACCGTTTTCTTGCAGCCTCTGAATTGATACCTGTTTGTCAAGCACCAAACAAAATTTACCTAGATCAACATTGCTTTGACTTATGTTTTACTCAAACTTTTCATTAGTTTTCCCTCAAATTTCAAGTAACTTCAAATCTGGGCCACATTTTTTTTAAATCACAAAATGAGAGAGAGCAAATACTAACATGCAAAACAGAATCACAATGAGAAATTCTGATGGGAAGAGAGAAAGAGGAGGGCTTCGTGGCTTCCACATAATCAGCTAAGTTTACAGAAACCTCCCCAATGGAGCTAGCTTTTGGTAACCCCTGTATAAAGTGCATAAATCAGATAGCACTAACAAAAATAAACTGATTAACAATAAATGACGGAGAGGAAAGTTTTTAATACCGTTGAAACCAAAAAATGATAAATTTTATCACTGATTTTCCCAGTCTTAGGCTCCTGAATAAACTTGACAGTTTCATACACTGGATTTTCCCATCTACAAGTTCCATCTCGAACTGTAGCTTTCTCCAATCTCGTAGTTGGTTTTCCAATGTCCCCTGGAACTATAGACAAGACCAGTGCATCCATCCCAGATTGAAAAACCTGAAATTGCATCGCCAAACACAACATCATTTTACCATGTTCATTCCCATCCCAACATAACTCAGCACGATAAGCACATCATCAAAATTCAATTCTGTCTCAATTGATCTGGTGGTAAAAAATAGTGTATCTTCTTTCACTGAATTAAAATGAAGAGAAATAAGAAAGTGACCTGGGTGGCATGGAAATGCAGCTTGAAAACTGCTTTGACCCTGTTCTTGTCGCTCCTCCATCTTGCAGAACGAAACATGTTCTTCACTCACTCACTCACTCCACAGCATCAATGTGGTTCAACTCATTGGGCCAAAGCGGAGCAGAGAGTGCGGGTGGATCTGGTGCTATGCTTCGTTGCTCCAATGTTGTTGTTGTCTCTGTTCGCTGCAACGGCCTTTAAGAAACAGATGATGACACACATATGTAAAGAAATACGTATATTGAATTGAAGTGGAAGGTTCTGCTTCCAAAATATGATTTTTAAGTCGAATAATGAAATAAGTGGGTGAAAACTGAAAACTGAAAAATGTTTATTTTTGGTAAAGAAGACAACCGTGTATTTTTTTGAGTTGTATATCACGGATCTGTGCTTTTGTGGGTGGCTAAAGGGGACCGGACAGTAACGTATCTTCTGGTTTCACAAATGCCCATAATACCCTTTTTGTCGGTTTTTTATTGAATTGAAAAACAACAATTCGTGTGCGTCTCAAGTAGATGAATGCTTTTAATTTGAAATAATAATTGCAAAGAAAAGAAGGCGTAGGAGTAATCCATGCGAAAAGAAATTTTGTCTTGGCCTTGAAAGGGAAGTTAGAGAAAAATATATTTACTTCTTTCTGAGAAGTGGTTCATACGGTAAGAACGTAAGAGTAACAAAAAATTAATAAATAAGATGGTTCAGATGAAATCCTGGGTTAAAGAGTCCACTAACCATATCTTGGAAGTAGTATACAATTAAAACCTGACATACTACTGAGCCCAACTGACTTAGGACATTTACCAAATTAAGGTTGACTCTGCTTCCCTCTATCATCTCTCTCTAATATTTTAATTTTATATCGTATGGGATTAGTTTAAAAACATAAATAGAGCTCTTTGCAAAATAAAATTGTTGTCCCAAAGTACTTATTTTGTTACTCTCTACGGGTTTTAAGTGACGTATAATAGGAACTTAACATATATTTGATAATTAAAAAGTAATATACATAACTTCTTCTTAACCATATCGACTCTTATAAGAATTAGTTTTTATAAAAATAAAATAATATTTTCAATAAATTCCAATTCTTAATTAAATAGAATAAGTTTCAAACTACTTACACCAAAGATTTTTAATAAAAATTATAAATCTTCAAAGCTAGAAATATAAATGCAAAAAATACGACTATAGTATTCTTTTTATATTCGTATTTAAATCATTAATTGAGTAACAACTAATACGAAAAATGTAGAAATATAAGTAAATTTGACAGCATTTTAATATTATAAGTTATATTTATTGAATGTAATTTATAATTAATTTAAATCACCTTTAATAGTAGTAATTTGTAATAGTAATTTTGGTGTTGTTATTACAATTTCAATGGGTTAAAAGTTAATTTAAATAATAATATTAAATATTTATTAATTATAGTTTCCTATAATTTTTTTAAGGTTGTGCCTTATACTCATTCCTAATTTAAACTTATAATAAGACTCTTTAAAAGTTAAATAAATATTAAATAGATATTATATCAACCTCTCGTAACTTTAAAGATACATGTTATATGACTTATATGTGATTTTTATTGAATTTTCTCTCCCTAAAATGTTTTCATCTTTTTCAATCGAAGCACTTACCTCTCCATCTCCTTTGCGTCTCTCAACTTCGTCTTTGAGATCAAGAAAGGTCGATGTAATATTTGTTCAACTTTTAAGAAATTTTATTGTAAATCTAGATTATTAAAGAATATCAAATACAATCTTAAAAAAATACAAGAGAATGCAAACATAATTTACTCTTAATTAATATAATTATTAGAAGAATGATTTTTCTTAGTATGAATGAAATTTATTAGAACACAATGTTCTTAAATAAAAATGGTAATTATCACAAATTTAAATCATAAAAATATTTACTAAAAATTACTCTTTTTTTATTATTTAGAATTAAATTTGATTTATAAACACATTTAAAAATAATAAAACCATATTCATTATATATATATATATATATATTATGGTATTACTTTTTTAATTTTACTTTTTTTCCTTGCGATTTCTTTTATGTTAAAATCACTTCAGTTTTTTTTTTTTTTACACAATCACTTTATTTTTCTCTAATTTCATATTCTTGTACTTTGAATTAATTTCTTTTAATTTTTAGCATTTATTTTTCTCCATGAAAGGTAATTTTATAAAAGCATGGTCAAACACTAATTATGAGCACTTCTTTTAATGAGGACTCAAATCATATTTATTACACGGATAATAAAATTATTCATATTCATTACTTTTTGTAGAAGGCTTATATAATTCCTTACGATAGGCCTAACTGATTACACAAAAAAAAATCTTTTATTACTATTTATTTATTTAAATCAAATATATATTCTTATAAACTTAAATACTTTTAATTTTATCTAAATTAAAAAAAAAAATCATACATTAGACAGGATACTTTCTGCTTGAGTGGCTAGTGCTATCCTAGTTAATTGTATATGAAAACTAAAAAAGGCACCACTAAAGCCAATTATCCGTCAAGAATCCATATACATATAACGGCGATCAGGATAACAAAAAATGTGACTCGGTGTTAAAAATGGATTCTTTAATAAGGTTATATGATACTATATCACTAAATACCTTAATTAGCAGGACCCACTAACGTATATATTTCCTTATTTGTTCGTAGTTTAATTACAGGATTAAATAACCGGTACCCTTTCATAGATACAATTAAATTAGCATTTTTCTAAGTCACTATACTTTGTAGAGATTGATGGGTACATAATATTAATGCTGATAGCCGCGGAAGGCTACGATGGTTGGGTTTGGGGTTAAGAGAATAATAATTAGTCGTAAAAAATAAAAACCCAATGGTTAATACGATCATTTCGCGCGTTTCCTTTTATAAAGTTTTAGAAATATGAAAGCGACACTTGAACAAAATTTGACCAATCTAATGTACCCAAAAGAAATTGCTAACCTATCCTTACCTAAATGCGTACACAACAACATAATATAAATACATTCTCAATAATAATAGGAAGAATAAAATATAAAATTACACCATTTTAATGTTTTTTTTTATATAAAAATATAAAATTAAACATATTGAAAAATAACCACTAAATGCTTGAACATAAAAAATTGAAATAATAGTACAATATGTACAGTTAAATTACCATGTTGACATTAAAATGATTTAGTGTGGTATATTAAATGCTTTCGTATATAGCTAAACACTTATTAGTATGTTCAATGGCTTAGATTTGTGGGCCCGGGCCCGTAAAGAAACCCACCTTCGTCCTCTTATATCGTTCGTCAACCAAACAATACATCAACTCGCTTCATTTAAATGAAGTCATCAGCTGGTTTAAATGCCCTTAATTATGGTTTACTTGTTGCCGCCAAAGTACCCTTAGTCATCGACTATGGTCTTTGATCTTCATCAATAATTTAGGTGCGCTATTTTAATTATAATATTAATATTTTCTTTAAATAAAATAAGCAATTTATCTAATACTTAATATATTTGTTTCTTACATGCGAAGGTAAGTATGAGTAGATAGTTACATAGTTACGTAGATGATTATTGTATTGTAGCTAATGGAAGTAATTAAGGAACGGCCCACAAAACCGGGCCAATATAATAGTGCATGCCATGGACTAATAATAGTGAAATTCCATAGTAGTAGTTTATAAGAGAAAAATGTAGAAGGTGAAGAAGTACGTGGAGGGAAAATTAAGTGTAGTTTGGAATATACAGGTCGAGGGATGAATAGTGGTGTTGAGGTGAGGTAGGAGTTGCTTTGGTTGGACACTTGATTTACTTGGCTTTAAAGCTGGTAATGCGCAAGGTGCGAGGTTACCAATATACTTTCAGTCAATCACTAAATTCTCCAATTTCAAAGCGTGAATCTGCAGTAACTAGCCACCAGATTAGAAGAGAACTCTACACTCAACCGCACCATCAGTTAATAGTTAATACACTTACACAACACATATGTAGTACTCTACAAACAAAGTGCATGTATTTCCTATTGGAAAAAGCAGACACGGTGTCTTCTACTTGAGTCACAATTCTGAATCTTTAAATGTCTCAACTGCCAAACCAAACTACCTGCTCCATCCTTTATGTCCCAATCCCCATTTTAGCTTTACATGTGTTGTACCACATAACAGCGTCCCCCACTTTGGTTGGTGAACTCAACTCTCACAATTTGTGAAAATAATAAAGTTTACGTGTGTCTCATTCTGCAACTTCTACTGTTAATAATCCATCCAACCGCAAGTCATGCATACGTGGACCTCAACTGTTTGTCTCTTCTTCTGCCTAACAATTTCATGTGCCTGCAGTTTTTGGACCAGTTGCTTTTTGTTTCTCCACAACCTATAAGGGCTTACTCTATTGCCATTTTTATTTTCAGGACACAAATTAACTTTAGTTAATAAAAAATATTCCTTTTTTCACCCACTAGGTTATTGCTTGTTTCTTCCTCTTCCTTTGTCATTAAAAGAAATGTACCGAATCAACATTGTTCCACAGAAGTGATAATGGCTAGTTTGTATTCTTTAACTTTGTGTTTATAGTTTGAATCTTAACCATCAATATAAAATAAATTATATTGAGAGAAAGGATATTCATCTAATATAAATCACAATTTTTAACAGATATTAATCATTATTTTTTATGATAGATATCTCATATTATATCATAATTGTAAATAATAAAAAAAAAAGACATGTATCAAGAATCATTAAGATCAACTTTACGGTGAGAGTTAGAATAATATATA